AAACATTAGAAAAAAACGTAAAATTGTACAATGCACATTATATTTATTGATCACTGTTTTTGTGTGAAATAGAGTCACATTACTAATCAGACGTAGCTGTTTTGTTATTGTGTCATTTGTGTAAAGGCGTAACATATGGATAAGCTTGTCAAGCCCGTCGCCCACTGTTTTACTGAAGACACTTTGACCCTTCTCAACACCTTAATTCCTGACGAGTCGTACGAATAATGTGTGTGGCTTTACGACTACGAAATGCAGTTCTTAGTCGATTTTAACGTCCAGAGTCGAGGAGCTGTTTCAACCAACCCGAAGTATCGAAAATAGTCTTATAATGTGTGTGCTATCTAACCAGGTTCTGGTTTTGTCACATTTGGAACCAAACAGGGTTGCTATATGGCTAGATCAGATGTAGATTACTACTTGAGTACTAGATTGAATCAGATTATTCGTCACCGAGGAGAAATAGAAATTAATAAAAAAAATCACGGCAGAATTACCACGATGAAGCTCAAGTACACTAATGTGTGCTTATTTCAAAACGCATCAACATTATTGCAAATTGCATTGGAATTTCTTTTCGTCGCCGTTTACGACTCCGCAGCAATGTCGTTTATGAAACATAAAGTTTAAACTACATTTGAATTGCTGGAAGAAATGTGGTGATTAAGTCGAGTGCCAATCAGATGTGTTCTGGCGTAACAATTTGCGGCAAACAGTCCATAAATCACAGTCTTTAAGAACGAACCCATCTGAAAGCATGACGCGTGGTTTGTTTGAATGCCCCGGTGGAATGCGTCGAGTCGGGGAGTGCGCAGTGGGATAACAGGGAATCAAGTACAGAGTAATGGTCCAGCCGAAACCAAGGCTAATTATTAGATAATACGTTTAAAGATGCAATATGGTTAAAAACACCGAATGTTTAATCATGCATGTTGTTGATAAGTACATTGAATTATATCCTATCACGACTAAAAACGTTGTTATTTAAGATTGTCCCGAGTATTCGTTATATGAAACAATGAAAGTCTCGAATGCGCATGTGCAGTATTTTTTGGTACGTACAATAAAACGTACATGCGCATTAAGTGTTTTCATTGTTCATTAAACGAATACTATGCAGTGCGTTTCAAACGCAAAATTGTCAGCGATAAATTAAATCCTTAAAATGCCACACCAAAACATCAATACTTAAAAATATATGTTTTCATCCATACTGCATCTACACTAGTATCATGTTGTCCAAACTACTGCCATGTTGTCTAAACTAGTTTCATGTTGTCTAAACTAGTGTAGTGTTGTCTAAATTAGTGACATGTTGTCTAAACTAGTGCCATGTTGTCTAAACTAGTGCCATGTTGTCTAAACTAGTATCATGTTGTCTAAATTGGTGTCATATTGTCTAAATTAGTGCAATGTTGTCTAAACTAGTGCCATGCTGTCTAAACTAGTGCCATATTATCTAAACTGGTGTCATGTTGTCTAAACTAGTGTCATGTTGTCTGAACTAGTATCATGTTGTCCAAACTACTGCCATGTTGTCTAAACTAGTTTCATATTGTCTAAACTAGTGTAGTGTTGTCTAAATTAGTGACATGTTGTCTAAACTAGTGCCATGCTGTCTAAACTAGTGCCATGTTGGTTAAACTAGTATCATGTTGTCTAAATTAGTGTCATGTTGTCTAAATTAGTGCCATGCTGTCTAAACTACTGCCATGTTGTCTAAACTAGTTTCATATTGTCTAAATTAGTGCAATGTTGTCTAAACTAGTGTCGTGTTGTCTACATTAGTGTCATGTTATCTAAACTAGTGCCATGCTGTCTAAACTAGTGCCATATTATCTAAACTGGTGTCATGTTGTCTAAACTAGTGTCATGTTGTCTTAACTAGAGTCATGTTGTCTTAACTAGAATCATGTTGTCTAAACTAATGTCATGTTGTCTAAACTAGTGTCATGTTGTCTAAACCAGTGTCATTTTGTCTTAACCAGTACCATGTTGTCTGAACTAGTGTCATGTTATCTAAATAAGTATCATGTTGTCTAAACTAGTGTCATGTTGTCTAAACCAGTGTCATGTTGTCTTAACCAGTATCATGTTGTCTAAACTAGTGTCGTGTTGTCTACATTAGTATCATGTTTTCTTAACTAGTGTCATGTTGTCTTAACTAGAGTCATGTTGTCTAAACTGGTGTCATGTTGTCTTAACTAGAGTCATGTTGTCTTAACTAGAATCATGTTGTCTAAACTAGTGTCATGTTGTCTAAACTAGTGTCGTGTTGTCTACATTAGAGTCATGTTGTCTTAACTAGAATCATGTTGTCTAAACTAGTGTCATGTTGTCTGAACTAGTGTCAGTTTGTCTTAACTAGTGTCATGTTGTCTTAACTAGAGTCATGTTGTATAAACTGGAATCATGTTGTCTAAACTAGTCTCATGTTGTCTAAACTAGTGTCATGTTGTCTAAACTAGTGTCATATTGTCTTAACTAGTGTCATGTTGTCTAAACTAGTGTCATGTTGTCTTAACTAGAATCATGTTGTCTAAACTAGTGTCATGTTGTCTAAACTAGTGTCATGTTGTTTAAACCAGTGTCATTTTGTCTTAACCAGTATCATGTTGTCTGAACTAGTGTCATGTTATCTAAATAAGTATCATGTTGTCTAAACTAATGTCATGTTTTCTAAACTAGTGTCATGGTGTCTAAATTAGTGTCATGTTGTCTAAATTATTGTCATTTCTAAACTAGTATAATATTGTCCAAACTAGTGTCATATTGTCTAAACTAGTACTATGGTGTCTAAATTAGTAACACGTTGTCTAAACTAGTGACATGTTGTTTAAACTAGTGCATTATTGTCTAAACTAGTGTCATGTTGTCTAAACTAGTGTCATATTGTCTTAACTGGTGTCATATTGTCTTAACTAGTGTCATGGTGTCTTAACTAGAATCATGTTGTCTAAACTGGTGCCATGTTATCTAAACTGGTGTTATGTTGTCTAAACTAGAGTCATGTTGTCTGAACTAGTGTCAGTTTGTCTTAACCAGTAGCATGTTGTCTCAACTAGTGCCATGTTGTCTAAACTGGTGTCATGCTGTCTAAACTAGTGTCATGTTGTCTAAACCAGTGTCATTTTGTCTAAACCAGTATCATGTTGTCTGAACTAGTGTCATGTTATCTAAATAATTATCATGTTGTCTAAACCAGTGTCATTTTGTCTAAACCAGTATCATGTTGTCTGAACTAGTGTCATGTTATCTAAATAAGTATCATGTTGTCTAAACTAGTGTCATGTTGTCTAAACTAGTGTCATGTTGTTTAAACTAGTGTCACGTTATCTAAACTGATGTCATGTTGTCTAAATTAGTGTCATGTTGTCTACACTGGTGTCATGTTGTCTAAATTGGTGTCATATTGTCTAAACTAGTGTCATGGTGTCTAAACTAGTACAATATTGTCTAAACTAGTGTCATGTTGCCCAAACAAGTATATAAACTAGTGCTATGTTATTTAAACTAGCACCATGTTATATAAATTAGTGTCATGTTGTCTAAATTAGTGTAATATTGTCTAAACTAATGTCAAGTTGTCTAAACTAGTGCCATATTGTCTTATCTAGTGCTATGTTGTCTTAACTAGTGTCATGTTATATAAACTAGCACCATGTTGTCTAAATCAGTGTCATGTTGTCTAAACTAGTGTTATGTTATCTAAATAAGTGTTATGTTTTTTAAACTAGTGCCATAGTGTCTTAACTAGTGCTATGTTGTCTTAACTAGAGCCATGTTATCTAAACTAGCACCATGTTCTCTAAATTAGTGTCATATTGTCTAAACTAGTATTATGGTGTCTAGAGTAGGGAAATATTGTCTAAATTAGTGTCATGTTGTCCAAACTAGTGCCATATTCTCTTAACTAGTGCTATGTTATCTAAACTAGCACCATGTTGTCTAAATTAGTGTCATGTTGTGTAAACTAGTGTCATGTTGTCCAAACTAGTGTCATATTATCTAAACTAGTTTCATGTTGTCTAAATAAATATCATGTCTTAACTAGTGTCATGTTATCTAAACTAGCACCATGTTGTCTAAATTAGTGTCATGTTGTCTAAACTAGTAGCATGTTGTCTAAACTAGTGTCATGTTGTCTAAACTAGTGTCATGTTGTCTAAATAAGTATCATGTTGTCTAGCTAGTGTCATATTGTCTGAACTAGTATCATGTTGTCTAAACTACTGTCATATTACCTAAACTAACGCGATGCTGTTTTTATACAACTTTTAGGCGTCTGACAAATGTAATATTAGTTCAAATGATTAGTTTAGTTACTTTAACCACAGTCCCTATAAACAATGGAGGGACTGTGCTTTAACCTTAAAGATTTTAATCCAAATACATCTGGTATGTTTGTCCACAGTCCCTCAACACCCGCTTAGGAAACGCTATTGCTGTACACGGGGTACAGTGCGTGTTTCGCTTGTGGGGAGAGAGCGGTGACGCCATAGTATTATCTTGGAGCTCGGTCGAAGCACATAGTGTCTACAAATATTGCGTGTTTTTGAGCAAAGTCGGTAAATTTTATTTAAAGTTACAAATCTCTGTGTGATCATATCGGTTTCGGGGAAAGGCACATGTAGTTTAAAATCCATATTCATTATAAATAACGAAAAAAAACGATTTTGACTTCAAACTGTAGCTGCCGTGTTCATTATTACTGTATGCGTTACGGCAATAATACCACGAATGTTTCAACCCTGGTGAATCACGTTACCACCCCCAAACCAATCACAGTTGTTATCAATTTGTGATTGGATACTTTAATTTTCGGACAATATTTTTTTTTTACTTTGTGTATAAGTGCCGGGAAGGTGTTCATTTCAGTCATTCATTTTCCATTTTATTTTGCTGTAGGTGTTGTGTGTGAATCAAAATGGCTGTTTGGTGTCGCTAACAGAAAATGTTATTCCGTAAGAAATAGGAACTACCAAAACTTAAAAGATAGAATCAATTGTAGCTTTTAGATAACCAAACCGTTTATGTTGTCATATGACCCATTCTAATCATATTAAATAACAGTATGTCACGTTACTCGGTACATGTGCTCGGCAATTTTTTTTGTTTTCAAGATGGCGATAGCTACTATTGTCACCGTTAGGCTGAGAGTATCCCATTGTATCGACCCTCGTATATGCACATTTCGACCTAAACTATCATATAGTTAGTACAATTTGATATCCCAAAAAATGGCAAATATTATTTTCATTGCTGTTCTCTTATTTTTCATTCGTTTTTTTCCCCAGTTAAAAAATCAGTTTTGTTTGTGGTCAGGTGCCAACTTGAAGCCATACACGATGGATGTGGTGGTAACGATGCATATATCCTACATCTAAATACTGAGGTCCTTCCATTATGTCATCCCAATCAATATTACTGTCGACGAAATCTTTGTGTTTTCCCCACATTTCTTTAAAATAAAATGCCAAGAAGTCAGAAAGTTGAAACTTTCACAGCAGTGAAACATGAAAAAAAAGTTGTGTAATCTTGGTGAAAATGAAGTCATACTATATGCTAATTTTATGTTAATGTAGACAGTGTGGGGATTACCGGTAAGCTAATGTTACGAACGCGAAACACGCATTGTGACAACAGAACTCGGAGCGTTTCCTAACCGGGTGTGGAGGAACTGTGGTTTGTCATAGGGAATAGATAATGTCGATATACTGCCACCAACGGTGGAAAACGACTGCGATATCCCAAATGGTCTCATACAAAGGGAAATCACAATTGCAATCCGTAACCTTGGAAAGTCAGCTGGCCTGATATAATTATTTAATTCGTCGGAGTATTTTTGCTGTTGCCATATTTAACTATATGTTTTGATAAATTGTATGATGTAATTTTGAGACAATTCCCTGGGGAATGTTTCTAGGAAATAATAGTTTTTATTTGTAAAAAAAAATGAATCTACTGACTTTCCGGGATATTATAGAGAGATCATTGTTTTATTAATCATGTTTACTGTTTACGGGAGGGTCCATATTTATAATATGAAGGGATTGACAATGTACAAGCTGGTTCAGTCGTGGATATTCCACTATAGGTAATATCTACATTCTGCAATCTGCCGTCCGAATATATATTTAATTAAAAACGTTGAAAATTTCCCTATGCATTCGAAGAATTTTAAAGCCACAGAGACAATTAATTTGATTCTTTTACAGAGAGGAAAAGACATGTTTCAGTTCCCAGGCGTGTTCCATGGTTGCCAAGTTGTTGTTTTGTTTTGTTTTTGTTTTTTATTATTATTATTTACGTTAACCTCATATATAATTACATAAATTTATCCCAACAAAAGAGTAAAATTTCTACAAAAAATATGGCAACGAGATAATTATAAGAATACGAAAAAAAAAGATAAAAGAAAAGAAAAGAAAAAAAAAGAAAAAGGGGTATGTCAGCGTCACAGCATATTAAATGATTCCCACTTTTCAGTGTGCTTCGCTAATTTGCCTCCCCCTATCGCTATCACTTTTTCTAAATTATTAACTTGCCTAATGAGATATATACATCCATGGAAAGAAGGTTTTTCGTTTCTCATTTTAGAAAAGTAGATATGGCGTTTAGCTAGAAGAATAATATGATTTGTTATTTTTGAAAAAACCTTGTTTCCTAGAATAATATCTTGGTAGGTATTACTAAGGGCGGTGGTTGCCAAGTTACTGAGCGCGATCACGACTAAAAGTGTGGTCGATTTTACAGCCGTTTGTCCGTTGTTAGCCTGTTAGAACCAGTTTATCGTTGTTCCCCAGAAATATTTTTCAAACGAACGTACAGATACTATTTTGAGTGTATGAATATAAGACACGTATTCTATAGTTTGTGAGTGTAAACTG